ACCTACAAAATTTTGTTAATTATTACTTTTTTTTAAAAAAATTTTATCAAAGGATATCTTAGCTTATTTTTTCAAAAGAATGATATATAATTTTCTAAAATAGTTAGTATTGTTTATTTTTCAAAATAGGTTGTTTACTTTTAGTAAACACAAAATTGATAAATGTTCAAATTAAATATCCAAGTATATTTGAAGGACAATATATATAGGTGATATGCTTTAACTGAAAAAAACTATTTAATAATATTTTAAGATTATTGATGCCTTTTAACTATTCTGTCTAACTTAGCCTAGTTTAGTTTAAATTTGTTAGTTTTAATTTTTTTTGTAGTCAGATAGATATTATTAGGATAGAGTTAGATATAAAGCTTCTTTATCTTGTAATATATAATTTTTGTTAGCCCAATACAGACTTATAATTGTGATTATCAGATTTTTTTCTTTCATTATTTCTATTTCTTTTTTTTAGTATTAATATTAGTATTAATAATTTTTTTTACTTCCTATAAGAAGATATCATTAGATTAATAGTATTCTATTATAGAATAGTGATCTAATATAGCCTTCTAGAATAGGTGGTTTTCAGATTTTTTATAGATTTATTATAATATATCTCTTATAAATGTTTCTGCCTAGTGTAACAAGTTGCTTATAAGTGCTTATAGAAGAACTGCAGGATATCAAGTCTAAATATTAAGCTTAATATTTTGTATAGCTTGTGACAAAATAATCTTAATAAAGGATCACTGACAAGACTGCCTAAGTTGAAAAAAAAATATTAATTAGATTATTTTTAAATTATATTAAGAGATAGTTATATTAACAAAAAAAACAAGTTAAGGTGTAGCAAAAGTGTAGCAACTTAGTGAAGTTGATAAGTTGTTGCACTTTTAAGTAGTAGGACAAGAGTTCAAATTTTACTGATGACAAAATTTAAATTTATAAAACGTGTTATAGCAGACTGTATATAGTTTGATAGATTATTAGATTTGTAGCTTTAGTTGTATCAACTTATACTAAAAGACTGTGAAACATTTAGTGTAATATATAAGTTATACAAATTTGAGTAAAGCAGCCAATAAATCCAAGGGATAAACACATGAAAACCCACTTGGTAAGTTCTGAGTAGAGAAATAATGCAGACTTTCGACAGTGCTATATAAAGGATTTTTAACCAAAGAACTATAAATTAGACAGGACTGAGGTGTTTGACAAGGCACCATACTAACCAAGTTGCTAGTATATATTGAAGGAAGAGTCTATTCTTCTGAGCTATCTAAATTGGAAGTTTGAGAAACTAAAAAAACAGTAGATGATTCATATAATAGATGCTAAGATTAGAGATAACTCTACAAGAGCAGAAGTAGATAATGGTAATGACTTCAGCTCACAAATACTTGTTCTTAAACTTAATGTAAGTTGCTGAAATCTAGATTAGCAGATAGTAAATATAAAAAACTCTAGCAATAATGCTTTGAAGATAAATTAGTTCTAAAGCTATGGCAAATATCTAGAACTTCTTAACTAACCAATATAGCAAAGATGTCTCAGTATTACAAGAAAGTTGCATGTATTACAGAAGGTTTAAATAGGTAATCTCTTAGTTGAATTATAGATATAGCAGCTAGTGTAAAACCTATAGTATATAGTTATTTATATGCGGACTATTTAAATAGGCAACCAAAAGTTGTATGTATAACTAGCTATACTCTCTAATATAATTAAAGTTTTACTGTAAACCCTCCACCCATTAAATTTGAATAAAAACCTCTATACCAAAAAGGCTAGTTAATAAAAAAAAGAACAAATTATCAATATTTTATAATAAAAATACAATATATTGTATTATATAATAAACTAAAATTTTTAGATTTATTAAAAATAATATTTTATTAAAATAGTATTATTAATTATCTAATTATTTTTTATTAAAAAATTACTTACTTTTTTATAATATATATAAAATCAAATATTTATATATAATTTGACTTTTTTTTTTTTTTTAATCTTCAAAAGTGAGGCCATAATTTTGACTTTTTTAACTATCCTCTTTTCTAAAAAATTACCAAATATTTTTTACTTATAAATTTTTATATTATATATAATATATCTTTAACAAGTTAATAATTAATATATATAATATATATAGTATAAAACTAATCTTATAGTATATATAACAAATAGCTTTAGTTTTTAAATTATATTTAAATTTTTTAAAAATTTATTATATATTATATAACGTATCCATATAGAGTATATAAATAGAAATCGATAGAGCTACAAATAAATAAATATACAGAGTTATGCAGCAAACACAAGCAATTTAATTTATTACACAACAGTCACAAACCATCTAAATTATATAAAAGTGGTTTTTTTTAAGGGGTGATTATGTATTGTATAAACATGATTAAGTTTATAACAATATGAATTCATAAGTATATAGTTGGGTTTAGCAAATAAGTAAAAATCTAAAAATATAATAATCTTAACAAGCATTTATTATAAATATCGAAAAAAAAATTTTTAAAGAATATATTTTTGGATTAATTGATAAAGTTTAACATCATTAATTAATTACATAACGATATCAGAATCGTTATACGTACAACCCAATTAAAAAGAAGCATACATTGATGTCGGTATGAAAAATTTTTTTTATCTAAATTATCTAAAAAATCTCAATACTTTTTAAATAAAAGGTTAGCCTCAGGAGCAGAGCATTTTTTATTAAAGGAAAAAAAAAAGGTTAATGCATCCGTATAAATCACATTTATGTATAAACTTTAACCTTGTTATTATTAGTTTTTTTTTCTTTTGCATGAGTATATAAAAAAAATTTTTTTTTTATGCACATGAATATATATAATTTTATAGAGAATTTAGAGTGCAGTGTCTTGGTACCTGCCGTTTATTTGTGTACGTACGTACGTACGTAAGTACGTTTAATTTTTTATTTCTTGCATTTCAAAAGAAGTAAAAATCATATTATTTATAACTCCACGTAACCGTAACTATACTTCACGTAACCGTTAAACACATTTGATATTATCAATTTCAGAATCGGTCAGTATTTGTCAGAATTTGCCACAACCACAACCACTTTACCGAATTCGATTCAAAGCCTATTATTCTAAACACAATAAGAAAAAGAATGACACGAGAATATAATCATTTCTCTTATAGGCTTTAATTTACGGAAATGCGAAATGAACAAACGAAATAATTCAATAGTTAATCGTGTTAATCATAGTATTGAAGAGACTAACCAAATAAGGAAAGTCATATAGTTTTTTTCGTTGACAAATATCTGAAAAGATGCCAAAAATCTTTATTAAAAAAAAAAAAAAAAAAAAAAGATAAACGAAGTTGACCGAGATCTCAATGAATGAAAAAAAAAGAAATAATTAAAAAGTTAAAAAAGATGAAAAATTCAAATAAAGAGATGGATGGAAACCTTTACAAGGAAACTGATAACGCTTTATTTTTATTTTAAACAATTTGGCGATAGATTATGGAAAGATATCGATGCAAAGTGGAGATCATTTTAATATTATTGACATCACAAAAGTAGGTTAGGCAGTGGATAAGAGTTTCATAGTATCTTGTCGATGGTAAATAAATTTAAGGTTTAGTAATTAAATATGATCCGCCACTTGCACAAAACGCCCTTGATTGTTTCATATGCTTAAATTCATGTGACGAGAGAGGAATCTTTTTATGGTCTGATGCTTCTTTTTCCTAAACCAAAAAAAAACTGAATGATTATATAAAAAAGTTGGTGAACGGCGGTGCGTGAGACATTGGTGAGATTTAAACAAGCAATTTTTTTAGAATCTAAATTCCAATTTCGAAATAACGAAATTAGAAAACATGTGTTATTTTACTACTTTATAAGGAATAATGGGTAAAAAAATTGAGAGAAAAGAAAGCAACATATCGAGAAAATTAAGGAAATATGTTCTTATTTGAAGTGCCGAATAAGTAAGAGTCATTTCAAACCGACAAATGACACCAAGTCATATGAACGAATGGAGAGTGTAACAAATCCAGGAATTTAGATGAGGGTAGGTAAAAACAGGTACTTAACAAGCCTGGCGTAAAACTTTTTTGTTTGTGAGACGTACGCCCAGACTCTTATTCGCGTCACTGTTTATGCACTCTAAAAATGGTTCTCCAAAATTAATCCCAATATATCATAAATCAACACATGCGTGTAACAAATTTTTTTTATGCAATTTTGCGTTGGTATTTGTGTGAAATATTTTTATTCATTTTTATTGGCCTTTGCTTTTGTGCCAATTAGTTCCCATTTGTGATTTAGTAAATTTCGTAATCTTGTTACATTTAATTGATTAAGAACATATCTGCAAGACTTTGTGATATCATTAAAAGATCAAATGCGGATCAGATAGAAAAATCCCTTGAAATAGGTTGAATTACACTGTTATTACAATGTGTTATTACAGTGTTATTAAAATGTTAAGTATGTATTAAATGTTATAAATATTATTAGTGTTATTCAAGTGGTATTAAAGTAGTATTAAAGTGGTATTAAAGTGTTACGTATTAAAGTGTAATTAAAGTGTAATTAAAGTGTTAGAAGAGTGCGCACAATATGCGCTCATTTTATTGATTAAATTGATTGTGTAAGATTTAGATAACAAAGCGTCAAAAACTAATAAAAAACTAATAAATCATCTAATAATAATCATTAATACCGCTGGCTAATTTCTTTTTATACAATTTGGTAAAAATCATTATAATAAATTATTTCTTAAAGTAGGACACTTATTCTCCTCTCTTGTTCAGTTTAAATGAAACGTGAAACTTTCGAACGTTTTTGATTCACTTTTTTTTTTCTTTTTTGGCCCTTGTATTTAAAACGAATACCGAGCATCTGGATAATTACCTAATTTATCTTTCATTCATTTGAAATTGCTTTTTTTGGTCATCATGACCTCATGTATCAATTATTACTAAATCACGAGCGTTTGACGTCACAATGTATTCGTCACTCGCGATCGATCGAATGATCGAATCATGAGTTTCACGTACGTACGTACGTACGTACGTAAGTACGTAAGTACGTACTTACACACCAAAGTACGTACGTACGTACTTACACACACGTACGTACGTATGTATATATATGCATGTATGTACGTCTACTTTTATCGTATGTAAATGCGTACAATTTTAATCCATTTAATCCATGTTTAAAAAAAAAACCGGATTTTAAGTATATGATTCGGAATTCGGAATTCGGAATCAAAGCCTCATCATTTTAAATTTCCAAGCCTCATCACTTTATAAATTTGATTTAGTCCAGATTTCAACCAAAAAATAACTAGAATTTCATTTAAAATACTATTTATATAATTCAAATTTTATATAAAAAAGTTAATTTTATACACTATAAAATTTCACGTAAAAATCATGATTTATTATTAACGTTAGTTTTCGGATTGATTTTTCGGTGATATAGAATAAAAAATTCTACTTAATCGCGTCACCTTCCATTTTATTATTACCTGTTCAAAAACCTGTCAATTAAAGTTGTTTACCGATTTCTCCGATATCAATATAATATTAGGTAATAATATCTCCCCTGTAAACCGATCATCAAATCAATCACGAGGAAAGGGGGGATTTGATTGATTACGATCTTCATAGTTCATTATAGTTCATTCATTGTAAACCCGAAAATATATATATATATATATATATACGTCTGTTACTGACTGTTTAACGTTAACCCCAAGACTAAAAAAATTTACGAGAATAAGATATACCCGAATGATTGGTTCGTTATGGGGTGCGTAAACATCAAATAACGATAGATCGATCGATCGTCATCACAATATTGTATTCATATTGTAATATTGTAATCAACAATCAATTTTCTTAAAAAAAAACAAACCACTTTTTCCCCTTTTTTTTCTCCGTTATCGGATCTTAAATCGGAGTTACATACTGTATTTTATGACAATGATGACGTATATAAATTGATATGAAATTGATTCGATAATATGTAATACGTCATATAGTATTTTATGACGAATTGAATAATTTTAGTAATTTTAAAATTTTAAAATTTCAAACATTCAATATTTCACACGCGTTTTTTTCCTTTAAATTACTGATTAAAGCCAAAAAAATTTATATATTACATACTATAACAGGAAATTTAACAATGCTCTTATCCAAAAGGGGTTTTATATATGTATATATATTTATATAAACTAAAAAAAAATTAAAAAATGTATAAATGAAATTAAAAAGAAAAAAAAAAAAGAGATTAGGATAAGAGCGAGTGGTATAAAAAAAAAAGGATACAAAGAAAAAAATGTAATTCTTTTTTCTTAAAAAAAAAAAAAAAAAAATCAAAAAAAATTTAACAAAATTTTCAACAAAATTTTAACAAATTTTAACATAGGGGGGTTTTTTTTTATAACTATTAGCTAGCGGAATGTTCAAATGCTTATGGGTTTTGTTAATTGGTTGCTTGTTGCTTGTTAACGTATGGTATGATTCTTGAAAATTATATATGCTAGCTAAAGACATATGGCTGATTATATTGATATATATATATATATGTAATTTTAAATATACACACATATATATATTTAATGAGACATAAACAATTTAAGTGAATAAAATCACCTACTATTATACCAAAATCTTTTTCGTTTACATGTTGCCTTATTTACGACAATCATATTACCAGATCACGATAAGATTTTTTTTTTGTCACGAAAAAATATATTTATATAACAAAGAAAAAAACTATATATAAAAGGTCTCCAAAAAAAAAAAAAAAAAAGAATAAAAAATAAAATAAAATAAAATTTGCCAATACATCTACCCTGAGAAATAATATCTCAGTCTTCAATTACAGCACCGTCGCACATTTACAACAACGCTTTAGATCGGGTGAATCGCCATTCTTTGGTTTTTTGAACATTGCATTATATTCAGATTTGAGTGGAATATACCGGCATTCTGAATTCGTGCAAACACATTTCGTCTTTTTGTATCTACAAATGTCAGTCATAAAAAGTCATGATTAATTAATTATTTTAAATAATTAGCATTAATATTAATTTACACGACTATTAATTTGACTAATTATTTAATAACAATTTATAATAACAATTTATAATAACAATTTATATTATAATATAATATAATGATATTTACCTTAATCCACAGCTATTACACAAGAAAAGATCTGGACGCCAGCCAGGTCTCCAGCATGGTGTACTGCGAGTTCTACAACTTGCACAAACTTTAGTCTTATTACCAGATTCTCTACGATGCGTCATATGTAATGTTGACGAAGAATTTGGATAATATTTAGAAGGTGAATGATCTCCTTTACGTTTCTTTGTCGGTGGAGCAAAATCCGGATCATCTTCATCATCACCAAAATTATCAGAGTTAAGATCATAATCACTTAATTCTGAGGTGGGAATTGATGATAATGATGATACTGACACCGAAGTTCTTCGTTGATTAGAATTTCGATAATATTGTAAATTTCCATTATGATTATTTGAACGATTATTTTGTTTATCACCTCCATTTGCCGAATTTGTATTTGTTCTAGAAATTTGTGAATTTGGATATGTTGTTAAAAATTTTTGTCCATTCATTGCTGCGGTACGACGTGATGAATTAGTCACGGGTTCTTCATCATTTTTATTTGATCCATTATTATCTGGTGTATCAATAATGTGATCTAATCCGGTTAATTTTAATAATTCTAATTCTTGACTTTCTCTTTTATTTTTTGCTCTTGTAACTGGTCTAGTTCTCATTTTAGATCTTCTGGCTTGAGAAAATGATTTAATAATATCTGGTAATAAGACCGGTCGATGAATAATAAATGCTGATGGACCATTTATTTTATCATGATGATGAATTGAAGAAATTGAAGAAATTGAAGAAATTGAAGAAATTGAAGAAATTGAAGAAATTGAAGAAATTGAAGATTCTTTGCCATTAATCTGTTCACCACCATTATTCATATTATCCGTATTAGTTGTAATTTTTTGTTGTGATGAGGAAGATTCAGTATTACTTATATTTTTTGGAATGGAATTTTTATCGCTATTTTTTGTATTTGTATTTGTAATTGTGGGTGGGAATAAAACTGGGAAGCAAAAAACCATACCAGGATCACTTTCTACGTCATCACGATTAGGTGATCTAAGAGGTATACCTTTACGTTTTCGTTTAGAAGAAGTAGTTGAAGAAGTCGTACTAGCGATAGAATCAACTGACTTCGTAGAGTCATTAATAGCCGAAGAAGAAGAAGAATCAGCACAAGGAGAAGAAGATCTCACGGAAGCGGCACAAGACGATAAAGAATAAGAATCAGGAATCTTGATTTGATGAGCGGCAGCCACTTGAGGAATAAAAGTAGGAAGAAAAGAATTATGTATAAGGTAACGAGAACCGGATTGAGCAACTGGATCGGGACTCGTCGGAGTAGACGGTTCATCCGATCCATCAGTATTATCGTGTACCGAAGGAGGAGCGGTTAAAATAAATTGATCAATTGGATCAACATTACTCGAATCCTTTTCAACATCTTTTTCCGATACCGAAGGGTTATCAAAAAAGAATTGATCTTTTCCATCAAAAGATTCGAAGCCGGTGGCAGGAGGAGTTGGTATGCCAAAATCAGAAGACATAATAACTCAATAATTCAAATAATTCAAATAATTCGATAATTCGGTAATTCGGTAATTCGGTAATTCGGTAATTCGATAATCCGATAATCCGATAATCCGATAATTCAATAATTCGATAATTCAATAATTCACGTGAACTATATATATATATATATAGAACATATAGATAGAGAAACTGTTATGATGCTATATATGATGTATAATGTATATAGGAAAAAAAAAAAAAAAAAACGATGATCAGTAATTTTGGCGGAGATATAATCAGATCATACGTAATTTAATAAAGCAACAAGGCGAATGAACACGAATCGACCATATAAAAGCGGAAAAAGACGGATCGGACAGATCGAATTCGTAAATCAGAACTAGCCGAGGCGTAGGAAGAAATAACGAAACAAATCGAAGAGTTCGAAGAAAATCAAAGTTGATAGCATTCATCGGGATCATGATTCGAATAAATATTTTTGGGAATGGATGTAAGATGAAAAGGAAACTTCTAAATAGTTAGTTTATCTGAAAAAATAATAAAATGGGCTAAAAATGTTTAATCAAATCGGATCAAATAACTTTTTCGAGCACGATGAGATGCATAAATAATTACGATGATCTATAAAGCTAGTATAATGGTTTTTTTTAACGCATTATTAAAATTATTAAAATTATTAAAATTATTAATATTATTTAAAATTATTAAAGGAAAGTAAACAACTATTCGAAAACATGAAATTTTCGAAAAATTCGAAAAACTTGAAAGCGAAATAAAGGAGAAATAAAAAGGGGAACCAAAAAAAATAGTTTTTCAAAACAAACGATCGGACCAGTAAAGATTCACAGTTCAAACAGACATAACGAAACCAACAAGGTTTTTTTTTTTTTTGTTTCTCGGAAACTAAAATAGTATTTTAAAGAGAAAAAAGGATAAATTGTTTACCTGAGAAGGGCAAACTTGAGTTGCAGAGAGAAAAGGTCGAACCGAAGTGATAGACAGTTTTATATATAAATGAATATCGACGAAAAAAAAAACAGTCTAGGAAAACCAAAAAGAAGTCGATAATAGTTGATACGAAAGATATCTAAATATAAATAGGTAAGATTCTAATCCACAAGTGAAAAAAGGTAGAGGGGGTGGGAACAAAAAAAATTCGAGTCGTAAGTTAACCAGTAACGAATATATATTCTAAAAATGAACAGCTCTGAGATTTTCTAGTCTATTCGATAGTTTTTTTTTTTTTTTTTATTTTTATATTAAAAAAAAAAATTAATGAATCTACGAGAGGAGAGGGATTTTTTTTTTTTTTTTTTATGATTTATTCAGAGTGGTGAGGAAATTTTAGGTGTCTTGTCGTTAACGGCAGTTATATATGTAGTGTATCAGAGCAATATCTACTTTTTAAAAAAGTTAAGATTATTATATAAATATGCAAAGAAAACAGTGTGGTGATATAAATAGTGTTAATTTCGTGTTACACAGTATATTTAGTTTCTAAGGATAAGCATGAAGGTAGTTACAAAGTAAAAATTATTACGTACACCAAAATGATAGTGAAATGATGAAGGGTGAAGTAAAAAACCAGTTGAAGAAAAGTGCGATTCAATATGAAGAATATGAATGATTTTTGTGCAAAATATCACAAAATAATAAATAATCGATTACAGGTTGACGAAGTACTAAGGCGACACAAATAAAATCCGTATATTTTACATTATGCTCTCTTTAATTTTCTTGTTTATTGTATTTATACATATTAGGTTTCAATATACACTTTCGATGAATTAATAATTAACTTGTAATTTATTTTGTTTTTCACTTTACTGCTACCTTCTACTATCTTGATACTTTATTGATCGTCTTACATCTTTCTCTTTTTGTCTTTGTCGTCTATTTCGTCTAGTTCGTTTATTTCGTCTATTTCGTCTACTTCGTCTACTTCATCTATTTAGTTCTATTTAGTCTATTTAGTCTATTTCGTCTATTTCGAAAAATGATTCGCTCTTTCGACGTTCGACGGAAGCGATGGGACGTTTTACGGTTAATTAGGATGGGCGGTTGGTCCATGTCAATCAGCGAACGACTATTAAGAGAAATTAATAATATTAGCGCATACTTTTGATGCATCCTTTGTAATTGAGGCAACCAATATCAGATACGTTTGAATGTGTGTTAAGTATATCCCTTATACATAATTCTTCAAAGTATATCAGACGCATGATTTTGGTAAGGATATGCGAAACACTTTATCACTTTTCGTGTTACAATTTTATTATAGTTGCCCACATTTTTTTTTTTTTTTTTTTTTACTTTCGTAATAAATAAATAAATATATATATATAAAATATTTATAAATATATATATCAGATATATAATTTTTATATTTTTATATTTTTTTATTTTTTTATTTTTTTATTTTTTTATTTTTTTTTTTACGCGCGATCCGTCAGGACCAAATATAGGGACAGAATAAAATCAAACAATTTTGTTAATGATTTTTTTTCAAAGAGATCACCGAATTGAATTCCGAATCGGAGATCCCGAAATAAAATTAGGAAACCAGAAAATTCAAAAAGATATGGCACACAATTGATGATCGAAGAGTAATCCCCTTTCTCGTGTAAAGTTTAAGGGTTCGTCGTTCACCTAAGCGACAGATACAACAGATGATGCATCTGCATTACCACCGGAGGGGTGACTCTATGAATTTATAAATTATAAATTCGATTTATTTTTATAATTAAACGAACGAAAGAACAGTTTTGAGTATCCAGCATGAGTGACACATCGCACGACCTTATAAATAATAAATAATATATTATATGATTCGTAGTACTGTCTATACTCAATATAATGTCAATATACTGTCAATATAGTGTCAATATAATGTCAATATACTGTCTATATCAAATATATACAGTTCATATACAGTCTATATTGTATATTACAGTATATCAGATATTGTATTCTCTCTATACTACGTATACGTAGTATCAAATATTCTCTACAATTACAGAATTACAGAATTACAGAATTACAGAATTACAGAATTACAGAATTAGTATATTCACTATATTCGCTATATTCATTACACTCATAGATATTTACTCACAGATAAGATATCGATATTCACTCTTACTATTTTCACAGTATTCACAGTATTTACTATATTCGCTTATATATTTACAACATTCGATGCCGACACATTATATTCATCACTTTATTTATTTATTTATATTAGGGGACGTTTAAATGTCTGTGAGCATATTCAGGTACGTACCTACTTATGTACATACGTTAATTTGTTTGTGCGTACTTTATCTTTGTTGAAATAGAATCCACAATACAGCAATACATACGATACGGTATGATACATAAACGCACAAGTACATAATCATAATCATACGAGATTAGGAATTTAGTTAAACAGGTTTCCGAGTATTACAAATTTTTTTTGATTCAATTTTACTTTTATCGATATAAAAAAAAAATTGTCGTCATAAAAATCATGGTATAAAAATCATGGTAAAATAACGATATCGTCATCGAAAAGGTGATCTTTAGGGGGCATTTGTTTTTTTTCTAACACTAACATTAACTTACGTACGTTAGCTAACGTTAATACTGATATAACTGACGTTAACATTAATAACACTAACACTAACAACTAACAACTAACTAACAACTAACTAACAACTAACTAACACTAACACTCATTAACACTAACTAACACTCATTAACACTAACTAACACTAACAACTAACTAACACTAACTAACACTCATTAACACTAAC